AAGCCAATAAAGATTAATATCGGCGAGAAGCAGCTAGCAACATTTGTTTCAACTCCAGTAACTCTATAGAAAGTTACGAGTAGATTTCGGGTTCTAAGAAGCGTCATGCGAATCGAAGTTGGGGCATAATATTTGCTTTGTTTAATTTCCGAGTAAATTAATGTGCGAACTTGGGGTAAATCCGTCGGAACAGACCACTTTAGGCACGATCCGAGCTATTTACTCCAAGTTCATGCATTAGTTTCCTCGGAGTCTATATACCAGAAAACACACGGGGGAGACTGGGGAACCCACTGATGAGCCGAACCCCTCCCAGCTGCGTCAAGCAGTGGCACAAGATCGGCGAAGCACGCGTGTCTGGGCTTTTAGCTAGTATCTGTGATGCCAGTATGGTATGCTGTAGCCCCAATATATACTACTAGCTGCCTGTTGGCAATTTAATGAGTACTAAGCGTTTATCCCGCTGTAGCTGGTGGACTTCATATAAAATTTCGATCAGCGTCCGTAGGCCTTAATTCAAACTGATTTACCCCAGAAGAAGACGAAAGCACGATCACTGGGACGGTAGATTTATTGGCCTTAGCCTTCGAACTCGAACTGGAGTTCATCATCAAAGACTGCTAGAGCGCAGCAACGTGTGAACATTTATATCGTTTTGTCGTGTGTGGGGACGGGGCCTAAGTCCGTGGCTAGGTCTGGTTTGTGCTTCCTGGCCCACAATGGTCCCCCGGCGTTTGTACTTTGCGGCGAGGTGAGCCGCGCTACCTGGTTGCGTGGGCGGAGGGCGTGATAACACTCAGGCAAATCAATGTGTCTATTGATAGAGTTGGTGTCCGACACCCACGCCTCCAACAGTGCTCGCCCCGACTTTTTGCCGGCTCGCGTCAATATCCGCGTGTTGGCGAAGTCGAACTCATGGCCCTCCTCCAGCGTGTGAGTGGCGACTTGAGATAGTGGGTCTGAGCTTTTAGCTACCACCTGTACGCCAAATAATTGCATAACATAATACCTCTTTCTCACATATGAAAACCCCAAACTATATACTGTGTAAAGTTAATCTTGTTTAGTGACTCGGACGAAGAGGCGAGCTCCAGGAAATACTTTAGAAGAAAGCAGTCGCTTGCTGGCATAAGTGTTCTATTTTCCGAACGCTATGGATCCACTACTGTACAAAACAGGAAGTGGGACAACAATGTTAAAAATTTTAGTATTTTTATTTATCGCAGATATTCGTAGCAGATGTGATGTTGGCATGGTCGTCCGCATTCACACAACAAACTACTACGATTTCATTGCCAGAAGTGACGACTGACGGAATAAAAACTATATAGTGCGGGAGCAGTGCTCGACCGCCTGTTAGCCTCGAAATAAATAACTCCGTAAAGTCTTAGTACTGAATAAAGAGAAGGAAACTATTGTGTTTGCCAGGGGAATCTGGGTCGGAGAGCCACACTTCAAGCAGCTTGCGACTTGAGGGCTATATCGGCGTATTGAGAGGCACTGCATGCCCACGCGAAACGAGCGACAAAATCGCACCGACCGCAAGGTTTGGCGAACGCTTCCGTACATTAAGAACGCCTTGGAGACCGTCGGCCTCCTTCTCGCACCACTTGGATTTTGAGTCGCATATAGACCGGAGGCAGCCATTAGAAGTCCGATGCTGAACCAAAAAAATCATTGTCACGGAATTGTCTACCGTATCTGGTGTAGTTGCTGGTAAAGCAACTACATCGGAGAACCTGAAAGACTGCTTCGGACGCGAATCGCCGAACACGTGGCAGCAGTGCAGATGAATGACGCCAACTCTTAAGTTCCGGCCCATTCGACAAGACTCGGCTACACATTCAAATTCGACGAGGCCGAAATTCTCGCTGGAAGCGATGATCACTTGGGCCACAAGCCAGGTGTCAGGGGGCTGCAGTCTATCAACATACACAATGACACCCCCACCCTATTTTCGGTCCTGAGACTTAGTCTAGTCAAAGTAACTAGCTCCTCTGGAGCACGCAGGCCGGTGAGTCAGGTGGCCGAGTGACCATCACGCTAAAACCCAACACGGGTGATGGCACTTCAGCAATAAACAACTTGCACGTCTGCTGTCAAATAATTGGCGCGCCAGTGGGCGGGTATGTAATTCATATTGACCCAACTGTGAAAAACTCGGCGCCTCGGTGGGATTCGAACCCACGCAGTAAGGGGAAGGCTTTAGCGCAGCCAACGCTCAAACCGCCTGAGCTACGAAGCCCCGCCGGACTTTCTGCGCACGAATCACCCGCGTCCGTCAATGTCTCTGATGATGGGTTCATGCGTGGATGCAAAACGTCAGACGAATAAAGCTCTAATACCAGCGATCGTTTCTACTCCCAACCAATGAGTTCCTGGAGCTTGAATCTTCGCTTGTGTCGGCGATTATTAGTCCTCTCGGAGACATTGGTTTCTTCAGATATGAAGACATGACAGGATCCTGTCCACTGAGGCTGAGCTTCGATATTATTCACCACCATGCCCGGCGCGTGTTCGATCATCCTTGTCAGGAATTTCCCACTGTTTTTATACCCTCAGCTTCACCACGTTCGGTAAACGACACGAGAAGTTTTTATTCTTGACGCTTTGTTTCTCAACTATATCATTTGACGTCGGATTCTTGTCCCTGATATGCTTAGAAGCCGTACTCCCAATGGAATTAGATGTATGACGTCCTCCATGATGGCTTTGACGCATGGAAAACCTCAAAAAAGTTTGGGTCCGACAACGTCTTGTAATATTGCCTATTGATTGTCCTTCGAAGTTATCGAAAGTTAGCAAAATCATCTCCCGGTTCATTGTAGTTCATCCCAACCCATCGACTTAGCCGCGGCCGTGGTTAATCGGGCAGTTTCAGTTGAAGCCCACCGCTTAGGTTCAGGTTGTGGTTTTTCAAAAAACTTTGACTTTTGAGTCAACAAATAAATCTTTCGACTCATGATAACACCAACGAAGACTAGCTGATTAAAGAATCGCAAACTCTAGGACACGGAGCAGGATGCTGTGATAAGTTAGTTGGCAGGGGCACCTGATTCGGCTTTGCGAGGACGGAAGTATAATCCATACTTTCAGGCTAGACTCGCCGCCTGTGCTGTTGACAGCCAAGCAAATCCGGCTAATAACTTCGTGAATCGGTGAACCCATTGGCGTGCCTTCTACATGAAAACACACTTTTCCTTGAGACAGAAATGGTCTTTTAAAAACAGCATCTTTGGGTGTGGAAAATATAGCCTCGTTTGGGGGAGATGGCTGATTCGGCTTCTTAAATCTTCGACTTCTGATCTCAACTCAGACCAGATAAACTTCTCCGTTTCGCAGTGGAGCTCTAGGACGTCTATTATCAGTTTTTAAACTGGATGCGGTGGTCGGATTTGATAGCAGTGGCGGTATATCTGACCTAATGAGTATAGAATGCTGCCTTATACTGCCGGCGAGGTGTTTAATACATTTGAGACCTATCGCCATCATTAAATCGCAGAGTTACCACGTCAGCAAGTATTTCAAGCTCACTAGGGTATATCTTAACTTTTGACTCACATGTAACGCGCTAATACATCTCTTATCCTTTATCTTCACTTTTTTAAGATAATGAACTAATCTGTAGACGTTTTGACAGATTTACGTTATTCATCTGATCCAATCATGAAAATTTCAGCGACCTCATAGGGGTTCAACGCCACGAGAGCTTGTGCGAGGATCGAGTACAACCAACGCTTTAACCACCGGAGTTACGCGGCCCCGATCGACAGCCGAGTTAATTTACCCGTCCGAATTACTGCAATGTATGGAATCTACCAATTCTGATACAGTAAGCTAACTGTCTAAGCAGGATATCACAAGCAACCAAGCAGACTAAGGTAGCCGAGCTTTTCAGAATTGAGTCACATGAAAAAGCTAGTCGTTTTTATAAGTTCGTAATTTCGAAAACGTTGAGGGGTTATTTCAGAGCAACGCATTTAGCTGCTTTCTATGAGATATTTTGATAAAAGGTGTAAAAAATGGAGGCAGTTATTCGGAGTCTCATAGTTCAAGCGGTTGGAACGTTGGTTATACCTAATTCCTGCTTTTGCTCACGTAGATTCGAATCGTACCCAGGTCGCCGTGGTTTTCGCAATTGGGTCCGCTGAAGATGTTCTAACGCCTTTTTGCAAAAAACCCTGTCAAAAAGCAGTTTCAGACTCTAGTCAAACGAGAAGCTGAATTAAAATGTGTGCCTTCCTCCTGAAATGTCAAAACTATGTGGAAGGGTGAAGGGTCCGCGAAATTTTTACAAATGCTTCAGTTCTTTAGTAGAGAAAGCGACAATGGTAGAGGGACGCTCACCGATAGTTTTTACGTCAGTCTCCTTTCCCGTTATGCCTTACGAGCCCTCTCTCGAACCCAACCAGCAGCCGCACAGCAGTGTCTGATAGAGCAGAACGTTATTACCGACAAAGACAAGGGAGACTGGAATGACCATTTCTGGCTTATTAGGCGTCGTCAGTCAGTCCTGCGCAAACCGAAAGTGTGGAGCACCTGAGGCTCGATCCCGCGGCCTGCTAGTTAGAAGTCCAACGCCTCTAACCACTGAGCCACGGGCTCGTTGTCCTGTCGGTTGCGTTCGGGAATGTACAATGGTAGGGAGCCCGTGACCCAGTCGTTAGAGGCGTTGGACTTCTAGCCAACAGGTCGTAGGATCGAGCCCCAGGGGTTCCACACTTCGGAGTTGGGTACGATGGTTAGTAAGCCTGAAATGGCCATCCCAGTCTCCTTTGCGTTTGTCGGTAATAAGACAGAGCTGTAGCCTTATGTTAACTACAGAACTGCAAACGATTTTTGGCAAAAAAACAATCGATAAGCATGTCGCATCTGACGCTTATTGCGCATTTACTGAACGGCCTCCCTCCCTCTCTCCCCGTGACGTGACCCCAACAAGAAGCAGTAGCTTTATAAAGTATGCACTCAGAAAAGTCGCAGGCTTAATTCAGCACGTCGTCATGACGAGGGTTCCCTGTCTGTTGCTGCTGTCAGTCCTTCTGTGTGCGGTTCTTGTCTCTGGCTACAAAACCAGCCCCCGGAAACAGAAGCTGCATGAGGACTATAAGGGTCACAAGCAGGCCCTCATCACCAACAAGGGAGATCTCCACTTCAAGGGCTGCCGGGAGCAAATCTGCCATCAGGGTCTCTATGACGGCTACAACTGCCGGGCCGGATACTGCGACTATGTCTGCGACCACATGGCCTGCTATGAGTCCTCGCGAGTGAAGAAGACTTTCGCCAAGGCGAACAGTAGTCAGAAGGCCAATTGGAACTGGCGACGTGGAGGTGCCTCTAAGGGCAGGAGTCAGTTCAAGGGACGCTCGAAATTTGGCAACAAAGTCGACTTCTCGGGTTGTGCCTCGGAGTACTGCAAGAGCGGAGACTACGAAGGTTACGACTGCAAAAACGGTCACTGTGGCTACGTGTGCAAGGGCGCGGACTGCTACCTTGATTAGATGTGAGAAGAGCGTGTTCAATCTGTTAAAGAATATCAGCCATGTTTTACCGCATACCTTTTCCGCACTTGCAACCTTGGCGAGGAGCCTATTTTTACCATCGGTGCGATGTGTTTTTGTTTCATTCGAAACCGCTGCGCGTTTTCAAAGTGCATAAATAATGCCAAAATGTCAGATAAAATGCCAGTCTGGATGCCTACAAAAGTTGGTCCACGCATTTAATAATACCTAGCTCACAAAATGGGCAGTGGTTTGGGCCAAAAACATGCAGCTTGAAGATGTAATTAAAACTTGACCGAAGATTCCTTGGAGTTAGGTTTAAAGAGTAAAAGGCTCTTTAAGATCAGTTGTAGTCCAAGCAGCCAAACAGTCTCCCCAGAGAGTCAGGGCTTCAACTATCAGTCAACTGAAACGTGCACGAGGACCAGGTCGTGGTTGAGGTACGCGTAGATTTGCTGTTTAGTTTTGTCAATTACTGCACCAGAGCTCACCTCCGGTCGCCCTGGCACTGTCTTCAGCAAGGAAGGCTAGAATGCGGTAGCCTTTGTGCGCAAGTCTACCTTGCTACAAGCTTACGCATACGCAGATAGCCGCCACTCCGGGGGGGGGGGGGG